AGAGAGAGAGAGAGAATGGCCAAGAGGCCCTTCTGTGAGTCTTTCTCTTGTCCTTGTTTCAGCCCCCTCCCCAATTCCAAAGCACCAATTCCTCCTGTCCAGCTGCTGGTCCAACCAGCAATGCAACAAACAAGGCAAATGCAATTTTCCTCTCCCTGGGATGACCCAAAGGGGCATGGCACAAAAGCAACAAAGTCACAAAAGTAGGTTAAGTCCCTTTAATTCCTCCAACTTGGCCCCCAGTGTCCAGTTTTCATCGGCTGGAGAAAAATCTCTCCCAAGAACAGTTTTTAAAGGGGAGAAATTCCGTCCGAACCATACATATAAATTATAAATAAAAACCAACACAAACCACACTGCAGCAACTAATGAGACAGGGCAGGATAAGGGATTGAAGACATCAAAAGATAAAGAAACACATAGTTGGGAGGACGCCAGATTCCAGGTAAGACTTGACAAAGATAATTCACGCTTTGCTTCCAGCGCAAGCGCCCTTTTTAAATCCTGTTTTCCAGCTGCAGCTAATGAAGGGAATCAGGGCCTTTTTCTCCCCCGTAACCCATGTTGCTCCCTTCTCCGTTCCTCCCTGTGTGCCCTAGGATGAAGCCACTTGTGTAGGCTACTGGGTATTCCTTGTCTCACGAGTGCAACCGAGCCCAAAACTTCTGTGGCCAAGGGAGAACTTGGTTCAGCGGGTTTCTACCCCTTTTATGACCTTTTTTGCCACCATTGTGAAGCGAATCCCTGCAGCTCTTAAGTTCGTCTCACACACGGCTGTTCAAGTGAATCTGGCTTTTCCCCCACACACCCTCCCTGGACCTTTGCACGTCAGAAAGTCACAAAAGGGGAATTGTAAGTGTGAATCGGTTGCCTGAATTTTGATCATGTGACCATGGAGAGACAGCAATGGTCATAAGTGTGAAAAACGGTCATAAGTCACTTTTTTCAGTGCCATTGTAACTGTCATGCCCTTGTTAGAGTCGGACTCTGAGGGAGAGGAGGAGCAGCCGATAGGGGGTGGAGGTGTGGCTCCGGAGGTTGTGGAGGAGGCTGGGGAAAGGCAGAAGCCGGCTGGGCAGTCAGAGGAAGAACCAAGCCGATCCCCTCTCCATCCTAGGACATGCAGGGAGGAATGGAGAAGGAAACAACTTGGCTTACGAGAGAGGAAGCGGCC